TGACGTAAACACACATCAGCTTTCTAAGGCTTGGAGAAATTAAAACTTGCTTCTCTTCTGTAGAGGGCTGGCAATGTATTTTATCAGCCCCTCTTCTAGGAGGCCTGAGCAAGGAGCACCTCAAGCAATCAAGACCCACTCTGAAGGGCAGTCAAGAGCTCACTCTAAGAACTAGGCCAATGTCTGGTTCAGGACCAAATGCTCGAGTGGCTCAGACACATGGTGGCTGAGAGGGCAGACTGTACTAGTATCTTCTGTGGGCTTTGCTTTCCTGACAGGGTCATTGTGACAATTCTCAGAGAGCAGGGCCAACCCCTAAGAGGGGCATGGAGGGGAAGAGGCCAGTCCAGTGGCAGCATCTAAGACGGGAACACTGAGATGGGACTTGGCAGAGAGAGAGAGAGAGAGAGAGAGAGAGAGAGAGAGAGAGATTGCATGCAAATTAGAGGGTAGAAAGGTAGGGGGTATGTTGCAGAAACAGATAATTCTACTTTCCACTACTAACCTGTCCCTGCCAGTTACTTGCTCTGTGACCCAAGCAGTCCTCTCACTTCTCTGGCAGAAGGCCTTGAGTTTGGAGCAAGTGTTCCAAACTCGTCGCATCAATTTCCAAACAGGTCCTGCCTTCTGACACTTCCATTTTTCCTTTTGCACACTCCTATTCATCCTTCAAGGATTGGCTCAAATATCAACTCTTTTGTTAAATCTTTCTTAGCTCTCCCTGACAGGCCTTGTGTGTAGCTGTTTGTATGCCTGTAGTACTTTGTACACACTACTATAAACACAACTTCCACAATGTATTGTACCTGTTTCCTGGTATGTCTGTTTCCCCTCACTAGAACAAATTCCTGAGGAACAGAAACTGTGTCAGATTTTTTTTTTTTTTTATCTGCTACAAAGCACTTAGCAGAGTATCTGGCACAATAAATAATCACTGAGTTTATGAATGAATAAATGAGTGAATGAACAGTTGGTCTGGGAGGCAGTGTCTGGGTACCAAGACAGGGATTTCATCTTGGGAAGGCTTACAGAATAATACACAAGAAAGTGCTAAATATAATTCCTAGGATCTATGAGAGGTTGAACAAAATATTTGATGAAATTTAATCAAATGTGGTTTGACTTCCTTACTTGATGAGGTGATAGGCTCCTTTGTCTCATTTGAAAAAAAAAAAAAAGATAAAAATCCACTAAAGGAAGAAAGTCTCATTCAGTTTTAAACAGAATGGCCTACCTTTTATCTTTTACACCTGTTTCTATTAATCAATCACCAGCCTCGTCTCAGAAGTCCAACCACTGCAGTTCAGTTAACCAACTCCAAGACGTCTGTCACCCTCTAGGTGTGGAAAGAGGTGTAAATCCACAGGAAAGCGAGAAGAGTCTCAGCGCAAGCAGGGACCAAAATAGCTGAACTGAGCCAAAGATGTAGAGGTCATAAGTGATAGTGTAATTGGCCTGCTGGCCAGGAGGCGAGATTTGGGTCCTTGAGAAGTCAAGTCTGAGACATCCAGAAGTGGCAGGGAAAAGGAGGCAGCAGAGAATAGCAAGGAAGAAAAAAAATATGGACAAGAGATGGAAGAGGGGAAAAGACAGCAGAGTAAGTGGTGAGATTAGAAGCAGCCATGGGGCCAGCAAGAAACAGGTCATGGGTGGTGCTTGGAAAACAGAGATGGCCAGGGGGAGACAAGGGAGGCTTGACCAGTTGGAGCAAGTGGTCTGCAAGGACATGCAGGAGCATCACTTCTTCACCAGACTGTACAGCCCAGAGAATGGGCGAATGATTGGGATTGGGCGTTTGATTGAAAATGAAGGGCCATGTGAAGTCAATAAGCAAAGGACAGCCAATAAACTATTAAATGTGGAAGCACGAACTGGAATGAGGAAGGTAAAAAAAAAACAAAACCATAAAACAAAACCAAACAACTCTGATCAAAGAGTTTAGGCAACCAAGGTCGTAAGGGGACCAGGCATTAGCCTCAACATGTACAGGAGTTTCAAATTCTACGCTAGAAGGTTCTGTTTTGATTGCTTTTCTGTTGTTGGTGATGGAAGCCAAGGCCTTGTACGTATGTGACAAGCACTCTACCACTGAGCCATATCCCCAGCCTACTAGAGATTTATCTGCGTAGGGATGGTGACAAACTCAAGCCTGACTGAAGGAGAACACCGGGAATGAGGAAGTATGTCCCACAGATCTCAGCCTCCATCGGAAGAGGCTGGAGGAGCAAGATTGCATAAAACAAAACACAAAGGGAAGGAAATCTGCTGGCACCAAGGGCGAAACTCAGACCAGAATGAGAGATTGTAGGTCCAGGTCCTGACTTGATGGAAGAAACTATTTAGCATTCAGATGTTTTCATTACACTAACAATGATAAAAGCTACTATATTAGAATGCCTACTGTACCTGGTATTGTGCACAAGAATGCAGTAGCCCTACAAGGTAGGAATAATAATCCCAAATTTACAGGTAAGACAACTGAGGTTAGGTTTGATTAAGTGATTACCCAGACCACAAAGCTAGTAAGTAGAGTTGAAGGATTCAGGCATTGTGCACTGTCAGATTACTAGACAGGTAGTCCTTCCCCTTCCTGAGACTTCCTAGTATTCATACCCCTAATATCAATATCTTAGCTCATAGAGACTCCAATACCTTGGTGCTGGTGTTCTTACATCAGAGTATGGCATCATCCACCCAAACCAGAAGCCTCCACATAACCTATGACTCATCACTCTCCTTCACTGCCTATACCCAGTGTTTGACCACAAACTTTGGCTTTGACATCCTAAACATCAATTTTGCTTGTTTCTGTTCACTCATTCATTTAGTAAAGTCATTCACTTAGTATTTATTGTGGCCCTACTATGCGCCAAGCATTGTGTTAGGGTTATACCAAAGTACAAAACGTTTTTCTTTCTTTTTTGAGACAGTATCTTGCTATGTAGTTCAGACTGGCCTTGAACTCACTACGTAGCCCAGGTTAGCCTGAAACTCATGGTAACCCTTCTCCTCAGCCTCCCAAGTGCTGGGATTACAGCTGTGCACCACCATGCCCCCTTTGTTACTTTCAGTTGCAGTCTGGAAGAGCCATGAGGCAGTTAGTGCTATGGATAAAACAGACTAAGGGGGAAGAACTGAGAGAGGCTAGGGATGTAGCTCAGTGGTGCAGCACCTGCTCAGCAAGTAGAAGGCCCTGGGTTCAATTGCTGATACCAAAACCAAAACAAAATGGTAATCAAACTCAGGACCTTCCTCTTGCCAGGCAGATGCTATGACACTGAGGTACATCACTGGCCCCACAGAAATTATATTAATCATTTAGAAAAACTTTCTACTAACATTAGATCAGTGTACAGTTCCTGCCCTTTGTAACTTAGCTCTGCTGTCACCTCTTGGTCCCTCAGTGCCCATTCCTTAACACTGGCAAACAAACCACCAGCAACTTTAAGCTCAACACTGAGATTTCACTGTGTCGCCACACACAGGCATGAAGGATGATCCAAGAACATCCTTCCTCCTCTGCTGCTAGATGAGCTTAGTTCTTACAACTGCATGTTTACTTGTTTCTGTCTCTGTCTTTGAGTTCTAAGCTGAGATTACTATGATTCTAATCTCCTTCTCAGGGCGTTAGGTTCCCTGCCTGCTTCTCTGAGAGACTCCTCCTGAGAGTTAAATTGAATTCCTTCATATACTACCTGGCAGTTGGATGAGGTCCTAGCTGAAAAGATGCATCATTTGGGACCAAGATCCTGCCACACAGCAAATACTGCCTAACTTTTATCTTTCTAGCTAAGGGCCCTTGGGCAAATGACCTAACTTCTCACGGTATCATGTTCCCCATCTGTTAAACAGGATGATAACGGGACAGTTAGGAGGATTCAGTGAGATGCACTGTGGAAGGTAAAACAATGGCCCTTCAAAAATGAGCAAACCCAGTCCCCAAACATGTGGCTGTTACTTTACATGACAAAAGGGACTTTACTAGATCTATTAAGTGAAGAATCTTCAGGTGGGGAGATTATCCTATGTTATTACATGGGCATAGGGATGTAAGAGTTCTTATGAAGGAGGCAGAGGCTCCGAGTCAGTGGAGGAGATTTGATGACAAGCAGAGGCTGGCATAATGCCATTGATGGGAGGGTCCCGAGCCAAGGAAGGCAGGTGGATGGGCTCTACAAACAGGAGAAGGCAAGGATTTTTACCTAGACCCTCAAGAAAGAATGATCCCTGAGAATACCTTGACTTTGGTCCCCTAAGTACCATTTTGGACTTCTGATCTTAGGAAAGATTTGGATTTTGTTGTTTGTGATGTCAGAGACTGGGACCCAGGAACTTGTGCACACTAGGCAAGTACTCTGCCATGGAGCTATACCCTGAATTATGTTGTCTTAAGACACTAAGTTTGTGGTAATTGAAGAAACTAAAACATGCACATAAAGCAGTTAGCTGGTTTGGCCCATAGAAAATATTCTCCCAATGTTCTTGCTTCTATATTCCTTAGCAATAGACTGACCTTCCTGTGTCGCTGCTACCACACTGAGTCACTGGGTCTTTCTGATGAGTCCTGCGGATGGCTCTGTAACTGGACCAGTTTCCTCCATCTCTTGTCCCACTGAAACCCCACCTTCTCCTTCACTCCTACAATGAAGCTCCCACCTTGCTGCTGAGCACATCTGAATTATGACTATCTTTAAAAAATTCATGGTAAATGCATAATCAGCCAGGGATCTAAGGAATACTCTGGTCAATAATACTTAGAGATCATGTAATTTAACATGTTTGTTTTGCAGAAGAGAAAAATAAAACTCAGGGAGGAGAAATGACAACTCAAACTCACAGAGCAAGTTGGTAGAGGAGCCAGAAATGGAGCCCAGCAACCGCCTCCCAGGGAGGGTTCTTTCTGTCCTGCTACACTTCCCCTCCCACTAGCTCTGGTTTGCTTCCAAGTGCTGTTTCTTTTCTTTTCTCTCTTCTTCATTTCCAGCCAGTCTAAAAAGGGCTTTCAGGATCGCCCACAACGCCCAGCGTAGCTTCTTGACAAACACCTTAATGGCGCAGCATCGCCCGTTGGCTGCCGTCGGTGCCTGAGTGGGTGGTGAGTGTGCTAGCGGGAATTCCCTGGCACTCTGCACAATGTCCTTGGCCCTCATCCAGGAGGCCACCACAAGCCGGACAATCACCTGGCCTGGGGAGATGGCACGGTTAGGGTTTTGGTTGGGATGTCCGTGCTTTCCACTTCTGGGAAGGCCTCTGCCCGAGCCAAAGAGTGTGGCTGTGTTCTCCTTCACTGAGACCGGAGGGAGCTTAGTGTTCCTCACCCTTCCCGGTCCTTGGGGCTCAACTTATGAGTTGTGAAACAAGAGGAAAAAGAGACCAGAGGTCAGGACTCAATCTAACTTAAATGGGAAGAGAGATGAACTAGATGATCCCTAAGTAATTATATCAGTTTCTATTATTTAGCTTAGGTTAATTGAACATGGAGCTGGTCTTGTATCTCCTCCTCATTGCCGGTTGTAAAGTCCAAGTGGCTTAACATGGCCCTCAATAAACTTCAAGCCCTTTCTTGCCCACCTCAAGTTCCCTGTACTCTAGCTCTGCTAACTGTGCTGCTTCAATATGTCCTGCAGATTCTACCTCTGCCTCTTTACTCATTTAGTTTCTCTCCCTAGAACGTCCTCCCACAGGTATTCTGGCAAAGGCTTGGCGGACTATTAGATATCCATCAAAATGTAGCTGACTCAATGGCATAAGCACATCCCTTGCTTATCAAATATTTCATATTACGTTATAAATAATGCTCTGCATGCCTGTTGTCCCCATTAAACTTTCTCCCACGGATCTTACAGCCTGGTGGAAGAGGTAGAGAAATAGTAAACATTTCATTGCAGCCGTGCTAAGTGAGATGAAAGGAAAGGACAAGGTGCAGCGAATACATATAACAGGACATATAAGCTGTGATGTCAGGGGTGGCCTCCCTGGCATTCCAGCTGAGACCTGTGAATGAATAAAAGAGGCTAGGTAAAAGTCTAAGAATGAACATTGCAGGAAAAAAAAAAAATGGCTTGTTGAATTTCTGAAGGGAAGGAGTCTGTCTATTAGAGAATGAGAGAGACGGCCAGGGTGACTGAAGCCCCATGAGCAGTGGGAGAGTGGGTGGGATAAAAGAGAATGGAAGAGTGGGAAGGACTCAGTCATGCAGGGCCTCGAATGCTGTATGAAGCAGCCTGGTGGGGGCTAGTTTCCATGGCTCATCATACTGCTCTTTCTACTTCTGTGTACGCTTGAAAATTTCCCATAATTATATTAGTAGTAACTTAGTAATAGCAATTTAGCCTTGGTCCTAAAATCCTTGATAAACAAGGGTGGGAGTGACATGATCAGATTTGTGGTATATTTTAAAATTTGCTATTATTAAATATTTCAAGTATTCAGAAAGATGTAATGAGCCTGGCATGGTGGTGCACACCTATAATCCTAGCACTCAAGAGGCCGAGGCAGGATGATCACTGTGCGTTTGAGGCCAGCCTGGGCTACACAAATGAGTTCAAGGCCAACTTAAACTACATAGTGAGACCCTGTCTGAAAAAATTTACAGAAAGATATAATGAAACAAATTATCATCTAATCGCCAACCAGCTCTGTCAAATCTTAGTTTTTGCCTTATTGGTTTCAGATATAACTGATCCTGTGTAGATTTATTTTTAGAATTTCCCCCTGGCCTGCACATGCATTAGGTGAGGGTGAGAGAGCTGGTCAGGTGGAAAGTTTCTGAAGTCCACATGAGGGGCAGCAGAAGTTTAGTCTAAGATGGGGCTGTGGAATGGGACAGAAGTGGACAGATAGAGATTTATTGCAGGTGGAAGACAGTTCTTGCTTTTGGGAGCAGCTAAGTATTTTGTTTGTGGCACCAAAGTGAGTTTTAAAATTATTACTACTGACAAAGTTGAATAATAATACCTTGCTTTTCTGTCTTCACATTGTTACAACAACATGCATAATCTTTGGGATAATTTATATGTATATATTTATATGCACATAGTCATAAATATATATATACTATATATATCATAAATATATATAATACTATATGTAATATTATATATATATATTACCCACAATTGACTTTGCTATTATTCTGTCACTAAAACATAAATTAAAATTGTGTTTGAAAACAAACTGCCTTTAAAGACAAATATATGTTGTAACGATGAAGTAAAACTAGTGAAGGATTGGCATGCCTAAAATCCCAGCTACTCAGGAAAATGAAACAGGAGGATTGCAAGTTCAAGGCCAGTCTGGGTAACTTAGTGAGATCTTATTTCAAAATAAGAAACAAAAAGGTCAGAGATGTAGCTTTGTAGAAGAGCATACCTAGGTTCTATCCCTAGCACTGCAAAAACAAACAAAATGAAACAAAAAATTAGTGAAGGACTTAAAGAGAATCAATCCTGAAATCCAAATACAAACAAACGATTGGGTCCAAAATCTCTTGACAGTGACTGGAGGTATAGTCAGTGGCAGAGCACTTTCCCAGCATGCACAAATCTGGTGCTCAACACTGCAAAACAGAACAGAACACTCTCAATGAGAAGGGGCCAGAGCCAGGATTTACACCTCTATCCACACACCATTCCTTAAAATGGGTACTCAGGCCTAAGCTCCGCTTTCAAGGGGAGCCAGCACCAAGAATAACTGGGGGGAAAGCTCAGTCCCTTCATCTCAACACAGCTGTCTGAGCAGGTCACTTCTGGCTCAGAAACCTTTAGTGACTCCCCTCAGCCTTTGGACAAAAGCCAATTTCACAATCTGCTCTCGGCCTCCTTTTCCAGTCTCTTCTCCTTACACATTCTTACTAAAATGAGCAAGTAACTCATGTTCTAGGCGCATCTAGTTATGCACTGTCTCCTACACTTGTCATGAACTTGTGCACAGGTGTGGTTTGTGTTCTCCCTTCCGTCTGGACCACGCACTTGCCACTTTCTATCTTTCTCCTCCTTCAAAGATTCACTGAAGGTGCCACCTTTTTCTGGAAGCGTCTCTGACTGGCCCAGCCTAATTGTGTATCTCCTTGCTCTTCTGTGCCTCTGCACCTACTTAGTTTATCCCTCTAGCATGCATTCCTTTACCCTTCCAAGAAGCTGAGTTGTGCGTGCCAAATACTATTTAAAGAAGTTGGTGGTTATTTTAAAATATTTATTGTCTAGAAGGTATCAGGAATTGTCCTAGGTGCTGAGACAATGGCTTCAGTTTGTTCCTCTTTTTGATGTCCATATGAGGCTGCATTAAAAGGCCAGGCACTGCCTAAGATTAGTTCCTTTGGTGCAATTAAAATTTATGCCTACTAGTATTAAGGCTACGTCTTTCAAGGATCGGAGTGGGACATACTTGAAAATGGGAACAAATGGCTAACTGGCTATTCTAATAACCTGGAATAGGACAATTTTGTGTAAAGCAAAAGGCACTGAGCCCAAGGACAGGAAATGAAGCTTGTAGATCTCTCTCTCTCTCTCTCTCTCTCTCTCTCTCTCTCTCTCTCTCTCTCACACACACACACACACGGAAAGTGTGAGGCACCTTAGATACAAAGGAGTATTAAAATAATAGGAAAACCCACAGTAATAATAAGAGAGAAAGGAATTTAAAAATGTAGCAGAAGTGAGGCACGGTGTCATATACCTGTAATCCCAGCACTTGGGAAGCTGAGGCAGGAAGATTGCTTCAAGTTGGAGACCAGCTTGGGCTATAAAATGAACTCAAGGCCAACCTGAATTGCATAATGAGACTCTGGTTCAAAAACAAAACAAAACAAAACAAAACAGCAGAAAAAAAATAAGCAAAGAAGATAAAAATGGGAACAAAATTTGTAAACAAGGAGGAAGGGTTGCAGGGGAATGGGAAAAAAACCCAAGTTATATCATGCACAGGTACAAATGCACTATGATGAACGTGATCATTATCTATCTACCTAAAATGTACCAATAAAATCTAATCGGAAACTGGCAAAAAATAAAAAATAAAAATATGGCAGAGTAGATTCAGCTTATGTAAAAGGTTAAATTTCCTAACAGTGAGAACTTTTTTTTCCCTTATCATGAATGCAGATACACTGGAGGCTAGGATCACACTGAAATCTTTAGACCCAGGACCAGGTTAGTGCTTCTTAATAGGTCTACCAACCCTTTCTCATGCATGTGCAAACCAAACAACATTCTCCATCTGCTCAGAGTAACTCACTTAAAACAAGCCTCAAAGGCTGGACTCTACTATGCTTTGAGTCTCTGAGCCATTCACTGTGTGGCATGAGCTTATTGGTGGTCTCTTTCTATCTGTTCTGACCTTCAGAGTCAGACTAGAAGCTAAGAAGGCATGAATAAATAAATAAGTTAATAATTTTTTTAATGGAGAAACATTTCTCACTAGCTAATAATAAAAGCAATAGAGGAAAAGTCATAAATAAGAGGAAGGGATGCTTTAAATAAACCAAAGCCAGGAATCCAATTAGAGAATAGATAGAACCCCTGATGTGCAAAATACAAAAGAAACACTCAAGAAAAAAGAGAGAGGAAACGGACTGAATCAATTTTTTTTTTGGCTTGGTAATGAAAGATCAGAGATATGAAATCAAAAGCCATAGACAGTGAAAAATGCTTTCATTTGCGAAGTCAGGAGGCTGGGGAAAAGTTCTGGTTCTGAATCACTTACATCAAGGTTTGTGCTCTTGGGCTCCTCATTTAAGGCAATTCAAGAAGTACCTCTTAAGTGCCACTGTGTGTTTCTGGGTGATCTCTGAGGTAATGGCTACCTTTCGATTCCTCCTGATTGCATGCCACTATCATTAGATGACATCCTACTGAAAGAGTTATGACAGAACTCAAAGGTGAAATTGTGGATCCATGACCTAAAGGAAATAACCTCTATTTCCATTGAAGGAAAGAAAGTCCATGAGTCTCATCCCTGAGAAGGGTTGTAGGAGGGACTTCAAGACTTGTGAAACAGCCAGGGATATAGCTCAGTGGCATGGTGCCTGCCGGGCAAGTGTGAGGTCTTGAGTTCAATTCCTGGTTAAAAAAAAAAAAAGACTTGGAAGCCTAAACTGGATGTGGTGGCGGGCACTTGTAATCCCAGCACTTTGGAGGCTGAGACAGGATGATCATTGCAAGTTTGAGACCAGCCTGGGCTACAAAGTGAGCTCAAGGCCAGCCTGAACTATATGGCAAGACCCTATCTCAAAAAAGACCACCACCACCACCAACAACAACAATAAAAAACCTTATATACCTATGACCACACCTATTTCAGATTCATGTAACTTTTGGATGTAAAGAATAAAATCACTGAATGATCACTGAATATTCAATAGTGAATACTGAAGGTTGTGAATTATGTTAGATGATAATTTGGTTGGGAAAGAAGGCCTTGCCTATGTATTGTAATCTTTACCAAATATAGTTAGTATTTTTTTTTTTGTTTCAGTACTGGGGATTGAACTCAGGACTTTGTGCTTACCAAGCATACACTTATCACTGAGCTATATCCCTGGCCCTATAGTTAGTATTTTTTTTAAAGTTTTTTTTAATTTTTTTATTTTTTTAAGACAGGGTTTCACTCTGCAGTTTAGGCTGCCTTGAACTCTGTAGCACAGGCTGGCTTTGAACTCAAGCGATCCTCCTGCCTCAGCCTCTCAAGTGCTGGGGTTACAGGTATGCGTGACCAAACCTGGTATTTTAAAAAATCAAATGATATACCAACTGGGCTGCCTTCAAGGACAGAGAAATAAATGATGTCTAGAGAAGGGAGGGAGAGCTTCCTGTAAGATCAGCTGAAACCTTAGGGGGTGGTTTGGGATGACTGAATGAGGGGTGTAACAGTGAACAACACATGGCCATATCTAGGGAAACCTGGGTGGCTTGTCATAGGAAAAGGGAAAGACAGGCTTGTCTGGAGTAAGGATGCATTATCGGTGCACACCGGGAGCGACAGCCTGCTAATGGGGAGGCAGGGTGGAGTCAGACTCGAGGGGCCTTAAAGACAGATTGCAGAGTAAGCAGCATTTTCAGCTCGCTGAAAAGCAGTAATATTCTATAACATTTCAGTCATGTGACCCACTACTGTTCAATGATAAGATTTGGCACAAATTTTTGATAGAAGCAATGGATATAATTTGGCTGTTTTATAGAAAGTGTTGAACAGCAAATGAGACATGTAAAATGGAATGGAATGAAGGGTGGTGTTAGGTCCCAAGAACTTGCTTAGAGATAGGAAACAGCAGATGGAAATGAATGGGAGGGGGGTGAAGAATTCAGGGGGCCCCTAGAGACAATGCTGGGACCTGTCCGACTTAAATTTTTTATAAGCGATCTAGAAGAAGTGGATCAAAGCAAAAATTTCAGGACTGTGGATCATAGAAAGCCCTTTCAGGTAGGAAGTTCCTAAGCTGAAAGAAAGGAGCCCGGGGAAGCAAGAGAATGAGTAGGATGCAAAATGGCAGCTGAACGTCAACACGGCAAATGTAAGGTGATGCACTCTGATAAAAATAACATACGGATGGGGTGTTGGGTTCCAGGCTATCAGTTCTGACCCAGGAAAGGGATCAGGGAGCTACTGCAGACTGTTTCCTAAAGGCAGCTGCCAGGGGTGTTGAGGTCAGGATGACTGACATAGGAATGGGTGGAAGCAAGGATGGGACCTAGAAAGCAAGGAAGAAAGCACCCATTCTGCAAACAAAACCATAGGGTTCCATACTTGGGGACAATGGTCAAGTTGAAAATGTGGGCTCCAATATATCCAAGAAGGACATCTAAAATGACTCCGAGGATGAATGTGCCTGTTCTCAGGGTGCCCTGTCATACTGGGGGAGCTTAAGATTGTAAATAAAAAACCTAAGAGAAGTGGAATATAATCAAAGCCTATAAAATTGGTAAGGATAAGGATTGGATAAACATAACCTTCTCTCTAAATCCTGACATATTTAATTATATCACCTCCTCTTAATGCTTGAAATACCATATAATAAAAAGGCATCAGAGTTGACATTTTCCAGCCCTATCTGTGTTACAGATGGTAAGATTCAAGCTTAGGGAGGACAAGGAAATGGCCTCAGGTCACAGAAACCACCAGGGCCCAAAATCATATTTGACCCCAGGATCCCTAAATTCCACATCAGTGTCTTTCCATCTCACAGTGTGCACTCAGTAAGTCTAAGCAAATCAGACTCTTTTTTTTTTTTTTTTTTTTTTTTTTTTCTTTTAGTACTGCAAATCCAACTTAGGACTTTGCACTTGCCAGGCAAGCTCTGTGCTGCTGAGCTACATCCTTTGCTCATAAATCCTACTTTTTCTAGGGTGTAAAATCATGAAACACATTACTTTGAGCTAAAGCTAAAAGCACAAACAAGCTAGGAAAAAAGTTTTCACTAAAATTATAAAGCCAGCTATTATAAGATCTTTGGAGACAACTATTAACTGGGGCTAAAGATTCTTCTATATACTCTAATTTGGAGAGGAACATGTAGCTCTTTGTAAATCTGAAGAAATGTAGGGATTCTCTCCTAGAGAAATGTGCATTTGCACACACAAACACAAATTTACAGAAAATTTCAGGGACTATATAACCTCTGGTGTCCCATGCCCAATTAACTAGTGCTGCTCTGGCACTCTTCTGACCAGACTGCCTGCTTCAACAAGTACACTCCTCTCAGGACAATCCAGGAAACCACTCTGAATTTCCCCAGCACAATACCAGTGTCAACTCTGTTAGAAATTCAGATCTCTAGATTGGAAGAGATCAGAGAAATTACATGGGTCAACTGCCCCCCGCCATATGATACCAAATAACAACATGGTTAAATATGCGACCAGTCAGTCTGCCTAGGTTAGAATCCCAACTCCATCACTCATCCATCACTCACAAGCTGTGTGACCTTGGACAAGTTACTGATGCTGAGTCTATAATCTCTGTAAAATGGGGATAATGATCACAACTACCTCATAGAGTACTTCTGAAGATTATAGGAGCTAATGCACATAAAACAGCACCAGGCCTGGCCTACAATGTGTTCAGTAAATGCTGGTTGGCATTGTTGTTATTATTATGCATGTATCCATGTAGGTATTATGCATGCATCCATCCAATAGCCTCCTGGAGCTTTAGCTTGCACATGCCAGTGATGAGCCGCTCACTGCCTTCTAAGCTGACTGAGCAGCTCCAATTGTTACAAACTTCTTCCCATATTAAGCTGAAATTTGTCTTTTTGCACACCTCCCCCAACCCCCCC